CAAGGGCGAGTTTGGTGAAAGGAGCATCTCGTTCCGTTGGCAACACTGCAGCTCAGCAAGCATTGATCGCCCACTGGCAAGGAATTGTAAAAAGCCTTACAAACTTCCTCAACACTCTGAAATCGAACCATGTGAGTCTCTATCCCAGTCCAAAATAAAATGATCTGAGAGTTTACATGACATCAACTCAACTCATGGACTCTTCTTCTCAGGTTCCTCCATTCTTGGTTCGAAAGGTGTTTACGCAGATATTCTCATTCATCAATGTTCAACTGTTTAACAGGTTTTCCCGTTGATTACCATCTCATTCTCATTTGATCTCTTATACATTACCTTTTTGTATATTAATAACCAAATTCTCTTATCGTCTTTGCAGCCTTTTGTTAAGACGGGAGTGTTGTTCATTTAGCAATGGGGAATACGTAAAAGCAGGATTGGCTGAATTGGAGCACTGGTGTTACAAGGCAACAGACGAGTATGCTGGTTCGTCTTGGGATGAGCTGAAGCATATCAGACAAGCCATCGGATTTCTGGTACATTTCATGATATGCATAACTTTTAGAGTCAGTCTCTGTGAGGGTAATCAAAATGTAAGTAACTAATCTTGCAATAAAAATGCAGGTCATACACCAAAAACCGAAAAAAACCTTGGACGAGATAAGTCATGATCTGTGTCCGGTAAGTGGATGATGAGTTGTTGGCTAGTAAAAAGAAATAAAGTATGGATGTTGAAGGAATCGAGTTGAAATTGCTTGCAGGTTCTCAGCATACAACAGCTATACCGAATAAGTACGATGTACTGGGACGACAAGTATGGAACTCATAGCGTATCGCCAGACGTAAGTTTCCGATTCTGCTTTGATCGATATGATTATTCAGTAAAGATACCAACTGTTAGTAACCTTTGGTGTATATATATGATAGGTGATAGCAAATATGAGGGTACTAATGACAGAAGATTCAAACAATGCTGTTAGCAACTCTTTTCTATTGGATGACGATTCCAGGTGAGTAATCTCATTGATTCAACCACAATATGTTAACTTTTTTTTCTTAATTTTGTATATAAAATGATGGATTTTGTATATGCTTGTTGGTAGTATTCCTTTCTCGGTGGACGATTTGTCGAAATCGATGGAGCGGATAGATATCGGAGATGTAGAACCGCCACCGCTCATCCGGGAGAATTCCGGGTTTAGCTTTCTATTGCCATGTTCTGACTAATAAAAATGTATTGGTTCAATAAGTTTACACCATCACTGTGTAGCTGTGATCATCCTTCTCTTTTGAATAGTGGTGTCAATAAGTTTAACTTTGATTATATTAACTCTTAACATTTTGAAGCAGGCTTAACGAGCCTTGGACTACTTTACTCGTAGAGATATTTTATTATTAGAAAACTAGTAGAGAAGAGACTACCACCTCCACATATCTAGTAATCACTTTTGTGTGTTTAGATATTAGATATGGACTTTCTTTAATTAGTGATATTCAGTACCTAGTTATTTTCCTCATATAATATTTTACGATGACTAATTAAGATACTTCGAAACTATCACTTCTATGATTCCAGTTTTCAAAATAACTAATTAAAGAAAAATAGTTAGAAAAATACCATTCTAGAATCAGATTTATAAGACCTTAAATAATTTAAAATGCATGTTATCAAAAATACATGTAAAGTAGGTACTATCCCACGGTTAATCGTGGGCTAAACTCTTTATTTGATATAAATTTTGTAATAATTGATTTTGTTACTATTTAATTAAATATTATGTACTCCGTATATGTGTTTTTATATCCAAAAAAACAATATATTTCTCTATTATTTTACGCTTTTATTTATAGTTTATAGATTCTTTTTTGATTTTATATATTTAATTTGTTTGATTATTTATTTAATTATTTTTTTTACCCTCATTTTTTTGTTTTAAACTTTTTCTAATGGTATTTCAATGTAAATTCTTACAATTATAAGGTTATTTTTTTGTGTACTTCTCAATTAATATAGTAGGATATTTAAGTGTATATATATATATAACTATATTTGTTGTATTTTCTAGACTATCACTTTTACGATTCCATTTTAAAAAATACTAGATTTGGACCCGCACATACGTGCGGGATTGATTTCAAAAATTAAGTTTAATATCATGTTTGCAATATATTACGTACATGCGGTGTTATGTTTATAAACGTAATTATTAGAAATGTTATTAAAATTAGTAATCCAAATTTGTACATGTTCAATATTTGTTTGTTTTTAATTTGGTATAGACAAAAAGACAATAGGATTTGTTTTTTATCAGTAACGATAACTTCATTTTACAAATAGTAAAATAATGTGGTTTGTTAATTTCGGGACATGAACCCCATCTCGTCTTGTCCCTTTCTAGATATCTCATGTTTTTCCATCTCTGAACCATGGTTTTAAACTTTTAATTATAATTTATCTATTAAAGATCGTATATTTTATTCCAACAAATAGGAAATAGGTCAAATTAAAATTGAGACTTATTTGAAGATATTTTTATTTGGTATGATATTTATAACATAAACATATATTGGTTCGCTTTTATCAAATTTGTGAATATTTGAAGTAATTATCGCTTCACAATAAATTTGGATCAACATTTGATCAAAGCGGACCCGGATTAAGTGTGACCAGTTTAGTAATCAGCTAAATTTCTAGTAAACCCGTAAACTATCAACCCGGATATAAACAAATAAAAAAACTTTAAAATTTCTCGGCTTAGATGGCCCAAATATATTTTTCAGGCGGGTCAAAGTCGTTCACTATGCATGCTTTGCAACAGATTAAAATAATTTTAATAGATACATTCAACATAATCTACATTAATGTTATGTCCGCATATGTCTTGCTTGATTTCGTATTACCCTAAAATTTTGTCACCAATTTTATTAGGAAAAATTTAGATAATGGTTTTTATTTTCCAAATTACAGTTCTTTCCCCGTACCCGTTATTTCTTGTAGTCTATATTAATAAATAGTAGTTCCACATCTACCCTGCTTGAATTCACGTTACACAAAATTCTCGTTACTCCTATTTTATTAAAAATATTTTAGGTAATGATTTTAATTTTCTAAATTACTTGTTTCCTTTCCGTACTTGTTATTTCATATGCCAATATTTACAATACCAAAGAAAGTTGAAATTAAATTAAGCTATTTAAATCTCAACTTCATGTATCATACCAGTTATCTAATATTTAGAAATTAAAATTGAACTTAACTATCCAAATATCCACCTTTTTGTTTCCTCAGTTTTAATGTCCCCATCTAGTCTAGTAGTTATAGTATGAACTATGTACTAATTATATGTAATATTGAATTTATCTTTTCCGTTGAGTTGAACAAAACAAAATAAAGAATATGAATTTATCATGGTGTTTTTTTTCAACCACACATTTATTAAAATATTATCATGGTTTCTTTATGTTGTTTGTTTTAAATATATTTTTTGGTCTAAAGCTGCTGAAAATCTGGTTTGAATTATTTTCATAATATTAGTTTTGGAAATGATTAAGATTTGAGATTTTGAACTTAATGATTAATATTTATGATATTAAATCGATTTTTTATATAAACACAAAATCATGTTACTTATTTTAAAGTGGTAAATGGTATGAAGTTTGTTTTATTATTTTGTTATATTAGTTACAGATAATAGTAATTATAGGGGGATTTAGATTTTCTTTATGATTTCCTTTTTTTTTTACCCTGAGGAATTTTATTAATTAAGTGGCTCGATTACAAAAATTAAAGCAAATAGATTTTTTTTTTACGTTTTCCTTTCCATTTTTTTTTACAATTTAAAAATATTTTTTAAATATTACAAAGTATTTAGTTTTTTTTATATTAGTTATGGCTAACACTAATTGTGACTAAATATTGTTAACGACTTCTTTTATATAATTTAAATTATTTTAAGGGATTTTCTAAATGATTAAAAATTACTATAATCTATAATAGGTTAATATAAATTATTAATTTTTAACATTAAATATTTAAATTCATTCAAAAATATATTTTAAAATTAGTGTCAAATTCATTATGTATAAATTATATCTAGTATTATTATTAAAAGTTGATTTATTTAATCAAATATATTATAAAAGATAGTGTTATTGTTTGGTTACCATTTATTATTTTGTTCTTCTCTGCATGTTTTCCTTTCATTTCTCAAAAGTTGTTTATTCCGTTCCGTATTGTTCTTTTTGTTCTTTTTCCTTTTGTTCCTCTAATGGTTACCAATAGAAGCCTAAGAGATTGTATGGATTCCTAAAGTTCCATCATAAGGAATGTTTGTTACAAATTTATTTTCTAGATATTATATTGTTTCCTTTTTTAATGGGATCTTGAATTATTTGTTATTAAATAATTTATTCTGCAGTCATTAATTCTGTTTGGTTATAGGCTTAGGATTACATAAAATGTAATTTTTCTTTTTAATTCTGTTTGGCTACACTTATAAAAAATGCTCCCCTTTTAATAGTATAGACTATTAAAAAAATTCGTGTTTGAAATTGTTACTTTTACAAATCCTATTTTCCAAAAATACTATAAAGAGAAAAATCGTTCAAAAATACTATTTAAGAATCATGTTTATAAGACCTTTTATATTTTAAAATGCATGCTACCAAAAACACTTATAAATTTCTATTATGTATATAAAATCCGTATTTGTAGTATGAAAAATGGTATCATAAAAAAGTTGTATTTTTCCAAATCCTTCCTCAATAATTTGTTAAGTATATTTTTCTAATTATTTAGGGATGAAACAAAATAAAATAAGTAAAAAAAAAAAAAGACATTGTTGGAAAACATTGGAATCTTGCCAAAGTCGTCGTCTATCGTTTTTGTATTTATCGAATTAAATACTAAAAAGATTACTCTAACTGTTGAACAACCTTTAATATGATTAATTCAACGTTATAGGTGAGGAAGGTAAGATGTTGGTAAAAGTCATGCATAGAAACAACTCCACAACACATAAACTTAAATATAAAATGGTATTACATAATACAACATGTTGCATTAGCATTACTAAATACAAAGTTTTTAAAGCAATGGGAGATCAACAAAAGGTGTTTCCAGTTCTTCAAATGGAGACTAAGAAGACGACTACAACAACACCAGCTCCCACAAAGACAGAACTGCTTCCAGTTCAACGGCCTGTCGTTACGCCTCCTGCGATGCGTAATAAGAAGGGAAATCTTTGTTGCAAAATATTATGTTGGGTGTTAAGCCTTCTAGTCATTGCATTGATCGCTTTGGCGATCGCGGTTGCGGTTGTATACTTTGTTTTCCATCCTAAACTCCCACGCTACGAGGTAAACAGTTTGCGAGTTACAAACCTCGGGATCAATTTAGACCTTTCTCTCTCCGCGGAGTTTAGAGTCGAGATTACAGCTCGTAATCCCAACGAAAAAATCGGGATTTACTACGAAAAAGGAGGTCATATCGGTGTATGGTACGACAAAACAAAGCTTTGCGAGGGGCCTATACCGAGGTTTTATCAAGGGCATCGCAATGTGACTAAACTAAATGTGGCTCTAACAGGAAGAGCACAATACGGGAACACTATATTGACGGCTTTACAGCAGCAGCAACAGACCGGACGTGTCCCATTAGATCTTAAAGTGAATGCACCTGTTGCAGTAAAACTCGGGAAATTGAAGATGAAGAAGATTCGGATATTGGGGAATTGTAAGCTTGTTGTTGATAGCTTATCAACAAACAATAATATCAACATCAAAGCTAGTGATTGTAGTTTTAAAGTCAAACTATGAGATGTTCTTAGTTCTAGGCTTTTATTGTTTACTCGTGTCACTCAATTCATTATTCACTTATACATTTGATTTATGTTCTGAATTTCTGGTTTTAAACTAATAAGATGGAAAGAGTAAAAATTGTATGATATTAAAACCCAAAATTTAGTTAAGAAAAGGAAAAAAAATTAGTAATACGAAACATTAGACAAAATACATCGTTGTTCGTGTCACAATTAAACATTTGAAATATTTATTACATCTGAGCCAACTTGTAAATGGCCTAAGAACTTTACTTTTCTGGGCATTTTTGATTTTTCCTCAAATGAAATAAAACTTTGTCTATGAAATGTGACAATAAACATTTTCAAGATTAGAGAGTGCCTTCAATTGATGCAAAACCTTGCAGATAACAAATGTCATAGAATCTGTTATCTTATTAAATCTGTTGTCTTTTTTTTTTTAATCTTTTCGAGTTAACGTTGATCATTGATTCTTGAAGCACAGAATGTAAGTGCATGCTTCAGCGGAGACTGAACATAAATAAAAGTGTCAAGATTTCAGAATTGCTGGAACAAGATCGAAGTTGTTTTAGTGAGACGAAATATTGAAGAAGCATTAATTGATGACGTGGACTATGTGATGCACTCAATATACTAATGGAGATATTCTTACTTGTTGTGGAAGATTCGTGCAACCGAATATCTACAAGATTTGGAGGATATGATTAAATCAAGAAAAAAGGAAAACTGATATTATCGGGGTAGGCAAACCTAGACGATATCTTAACCCACAAATATAAAAGGGATGGAGGAGGTGTTTATGAGGTTAAGCCGTTTGTGAGAGAAGAATTCGTTCATAAGATTTTCTATTTTAGAGAGTACGAGTTAACGTAGAAAACAAGTTATGTATTGTCTCTTCTTTAGTTTAGTTTAGAAATCGTTTTGCCCTCAAGCTAAGAAGGTGTTCTAAGGCTGTGAGTAAGTCCAATTAAGAGTATGTAATCATCTCAAAGATTTCTAATAAAAGTTGATACTTGGTGCGCCAAGTTTTGGGATTTCTTGTGTTTATGTGTCCATCTCGTTTTTTCACTTGGTATCAGAGCATGCATCTTAACTGAGTTTTTACTCAACAAGGTAAATATCCTGTAAAGGAAGATGGACGCATCACGAGAGGTAGCTTTTGTGCAACGATCAATCATGCTTGGAGAAACAAACTATGGTCGTTGGAAAGTCAAGATGCGGCATAATATTCGAAGTATTAGTGATAATGCTTGGACTGCGGTTGAAACTGGTTGGACTGAACCATATGTGAAAGGTGAAGATGGAGAAGACGTGCCAAAGCCTAATGATAAGTGGACCGATGATGAGAAAAAATTGTCCAAGATGAATTCAAGAGCGTTGACTGCGATCAAGAACCCAAATATAAAGAATCCTGACGGAACGATAAATCAAGCTATTGTTATAAAAGTAACCTTGATTTGGCATTTAGAAAACTCAGCAACTCAAAATCACCTCTTACACCAAATTGATAAGAAAAAGTCATTATTTCATATATTTCCAGAAAAGAAATAACAAAAAATATGTCATCACTGTGAGAGGGTATTTTTTTTGTGATTTCCTTTATGGAAATATCGAGAATGGTTAACTTTTTATTAATTTGGCTCAACAGGATACTCTGAGCTGCAAAGTTTTCGGATTGCCAATTTACGGTTGCTCTCGCATCATTGATTTGCTTCACTGTTCCATCAAAATTCTTTATGTTTTCCTTGTATCCTTAGGTGCTAAGAATATAAAGAAAACAATTATGAGGTACCAGCTATGCAAACAGAGGCAACACAATTCTTTTATCAAATAAGTTTCAAGGTGTTTAGAGGTTATATTTGACTCTCAAAACTTGACACACAAACTGAAATGACAAATGCAAAAGAACTTCATCTTCTCGCTTCAATGATTGATTAAAAAAGTCTTTTTAAGTCACTCACACACTTTTGTAACTTAATCAAACTTGAACCTTCACTAAAACTAGCTAAAGGCTGATCAATCTAGCCTAATGGATTCTGTATTAAATCACCATTTAGAAGATGAAGTTTTTCAAAGAACATATTCAAACATTAACATAACCGGTTCAAGCATTAAAAGAACATAACACAAACAATATACATCATTCAAGCATTTGACGAACATTGATCAAAGAAGAAACACACAAATATTGATAAAATAAGATAAACAAAATAAATCATAACATAAGAACTCACAACAAATTTCTAAATCAATATTAATATGATTTACCGAGGATATAAACCTTCTCTACCCTTGTCCCTAAGTTATAGATGAGCTAAACATGACTTCTCTCTCCTAACAAATCAAAGGTCATTGTTACATATCCATTACTTTTGCTAGTAACATCACAAAGGGAGTAATTTAATTCAACCCTATCACTAGAAATTTAATATAATTTTGGAATTGTGAAGAGAAATCTAGATTTAACATAAACAAAGAATAAATACCAGAGATATAATAAACTAAAATCGAGATTGTGTGCTCATGATAGAAACCAAAGAGAATCCATTCGATTTCAAAAGCATTAAAGTTAACGCAGATTACATCACACAATAGTTAAAGATCGAAAGCTCTTACCTTTTGATATGAACTAAGATCCTTCACTATCCTTACGACTCTGATTGAGGGGAAAACAAAGACAGATCGGTTGCTAGGTTGCAGAGCAAACATCGGATTCAGACACAAATCAGTCGGATTCAGATTCAAACCTTTGATGGTATCGTCATCAACGAGAGTCTACAAAGGGAGAAAGAGGTGGAGAAAATTTTGCCCAGAAGAGAGAAAGATAACACAACAAATTTTTTTTTTGTCTTTTGTTAAATTTAGGCCATCCACTCACGTGATGACACGACAACGATTCTAAGATTTTCTAAAAGAGAAAATTGTAAAGAGTGCCATGAACAGTGATAAAACTTATATGGAATGCCATTTCAAAAAACCTCTTCTCCCGCCTGCCACAAGAGTTCTGTATAAAGACCGACGTACCCCTGGATGAATTGGCTGCTCTGTGTTGTGACTGTTCATTTTTTTTCATTATCTCTTTCTCTTCTTCATCTTCTTCTTCTTCTTCTTCTTCCAACAACAAACAATTTCAGCGGACCAGATCCGACGGACGAACTCCGGCGGACCAAATCAGGCGGACCAGATTCGACAGACCAGATCCGGCGGACCATATTCGACAGACCAGATCCGGCGGACCATATTCGACAGACCAGATCCGGCGGACCATAGCAATTCTGGTCCAGATTCGGCAGACAAGATTCAACGGACCAGTTCCGACAAACCATAACTCCAGCGGACGAGTTCTGGTAGACCACAGTCAGTTCTAATGAACTATAACCAGTTCAAGCAGAACATATTCGGCGGACCAGTTTCGACCAACCCAAAAAACGAGTTCCGATAGACCAGATCTTGTGGACGAGTTCAGACGGACCATAGTCAGTTCCTACGAACTTTAACCAGCTCCGGCAGAGCAGATTCGGTGGACCAGATAGACCAATTACTATAGACTAGTTGTGGGAAACTAGATCCGGCGTATCATTTTCCGGCGGACAAAAGCTAGTTATTATAGACTTGTTCTAGGTGATAAAAACCGGCAGACCAGTTCTGCTGACCTGATTCGGCGGACCAGCTGAACGATCAAACAAGTGATGCAGTTATTGCACTATAGACAATACATTTTCTGTGGATGGACAATATTCGGCGAACCAATTTTGTCGACTAGTTGTGGCAGATCAGATGTAGTGGACCAGATTTTGTAGACGAGATCCCTTTTTTATTTTGATTTTGTCTATCATTTTTTTGTCTTTTTCTTCGAGGGCAAAATCGTCTATTTTTCTCTCCTTGTGGCACGTTTTGAAAGAAGCTTTCATTAATGGCAGTTTGACAAAATCGAGTTACCAAAATGGCATACTCAATAAAATTCCCTTTCTAAAAGCCCTTAGTTAAGAACCAATTTTAATAATTTTTGGTTATTATGGATTAATGATTTTTTTGCACAAAACCCTAATTTTAACCACTTTTTTTTTTTTTTAACTTTAGAAGCTAATTTTAACATTTCCTTTGGAGATAGACTAAACCAATTTTTTCATATAATGGTCTTGATTGGTTACTACTTTTAATTATTTTCACATGCATATTTTCGTCCACAACTACAAATCTACAACAATTATACTTTACAAATTTTGTATCTTTTTTTTCTATGCATAGCCATAATATTTTCTTAGTTAGTTCTTTTGGATGTACAAAGCCATTTTTCTAAAAAAAAAACGTATTTTAAATTATTCTAAAATTTTAATCTTTACAGTAAAAACACTATAATAATAAAATTTACAGCTACTGCAAAATCTATTGTCAATATTCTAAAATTAAAGGCATTACTAATCAATGCCCATATTTTATTATTTTCTTCTTATCACACTTTAATAATTTCAGCGGCAAAGATATATGGTAAAATATATTTTAGGAAATACTAAGGGGCTGGTATTGGTTTCTGACAAATGAAGTAAAGTATTGATGTGAAGTATGGTGTGAAGTAAAGTATTGATGTGAAGTAGTGTATTGATGTGAAGTAAAGTATTGATGTGATGTATGGTGTGAAGTAAAGTATGAAGTAAAGTACTGAAGTAGAATAAATGTATAATAAGTAGTATGAAGACTTGTGGTGTGTGTGTAAATATGTGTGAAAGGAATATGCTATGTAATATTTCTTAAGTCATGTATTATAAATACCAAGTTTGGTGAGGGTTGTTCACCATAAGCTTGAGTGTCCAAAATCATAAGAGTCCTTTGTATTCTCTTGAGTGTGTTCTTGTATAATAAAAGCTTTCTCCTCTTCCACAAACACTTTAATCTTTTTCACATATTTGTTTCATATATCTCGATGCTATAAAACCTCCTACATACGTGGTTGTACCTACTATGTGTTTTGGTATCAGAACCATGGCAGTCTAAGCTTTAGCTCTTCGATATATAAAAGGTAGTATGCAGTCTAAGCTTTAGCTCTTCGATATATAAAAGGTAGTATGCCATAATGTTGTTT